GCAAAGTTTGACGTGGTTATTATTATCATTGACCCTAAAATTTCAAGAGCCGTAAACGGGACTTAATCCCAAAAATTGTGGATTACCTTCCCAACCTTCAGATCTAAAGTTCGAGAATGCAAGAACAACCCATCGGCTGATACAGTAAAACAAACAGTAGAGGAGCCTCTGCTAGCTGCATCTTGATGTCTCACAGGCCTGCAGCACAAGTGGCGTATATCAATTAGAGCTGCAGACTCGAACGAGAGTAACAAAGCATGGGAAACTAGAGACAAAAAGGAAAACAGCAAGCAGCGAAAAAGGCGGCCCGGAGGAAGACGAGCGAGATGCGTGTTGCAGAAGCTTGCCCAAGAGTTACGTGGCGAGAGTACCGCTACAGTTTCTCCCTCCCTTCTCTGCTAGCTGCCATGGCTTTTGGGGGTGGGGACGCCGGACGGGCGACGGAGTCGAGCACCTGCATGCCTCTCGTGGCCTGAGGCGGGCTCGCACTCCCACCAAGCGAGCTGCTGCTCTGATGCATGCACTGCGTGCCTCGTTGCTTTCATGCCGTTCTGGTGTAAGCTCCAACCCCCCTGCGCTGGCTTTACAGCCCTCCTTTGATGGTTACGTATTAAGCGCGGGCTACGAGGCGGGAGCGCAGCGGCCCTGCGCCTTTTTCTTGTTGGCTTCATTCATCCTTCTTGGAAGGAGCTAAGCAATGATGTGCATCTGTAGTTGGGTTGTTGGGTGGGGCCCTCATACTAAGTAAGAGCATCATGGATAATTTGGTAATTTCAATTTACATTTTCAGGCCTCAAGAAATATAAATCTTTGTGCCTCGACGGATTTGGTGGCCGAAAAAAGCCCAAAAAGATCACAACTTGCCCGAAATTGACTGTTCCCGGCCCCATCTGCGGCTGATCTACATCTGATCGAGCACGTGTCCACCTCCACTTGATTGGTCCCTGCTATCTCGACCAATGATTGATCGACACGATTCATCCAGAAGCATCGTGACGTGTCAATTCACGAGAGGAGGGGCCGAGAGAGTGATTGACCCTGACGTCTTCGAAATGACCTCACGAGGCATCTTCGAAGTAGATGGGCTGTTCTTAATGGAGATCCGATCCGTTTCCGAACGATTAGCAGGCCTGGCGTCCGTTAAGCCCAGCAAGAAATGGTTGCTTCTGCTTTTACGCATGAGGATTACCTGTTATATATATTACATTTTTCCTATTTGATCAGATAAGACTAATCGAGCATTTTGAGAATTCCATCTTACATGTGTTACCTATGCATCGTTCATTTTATGACCTGAGATTATGGATTCAGTGTCCTAAACAATGGATCTTAATCTTATAGCCAAAAGTTTATTCCCGAGTTGCAACTCATATAGTGGCATATTCTTTAGAATGGACATACTGGATTGGGCATGAATCGGGGTCTTGGAGTGGCACTTAATTTCCTCGAAAGATTAGCTTAAAATCATCGCATTGTTGAAATTTCAACACTTGCGGAGAGAAGACTTCAAGTGGCAATCCTTCGATCGATGCGACTATGGGGAGAGAGAGCATCTTGGATTCGTGGATCTCTATTGAACAATCGTATCTAAGCAAGCTACGTGAATATTTAAGTAGCTAATAAAAGAAAAATCAATCGATACAGTAATTTAGGATAAAAATATATTAAATATTTTACTTAAGTTTATTAAATTTAATGATCGATAAAAAATAAGTGTTAATCTTGAGGGATTGATTACCTTAATGAGAGGACTCTCTCAACTTATCTCTATCTATCTGCATCTTTTGTTCAGTATCTTCTTGAGTTCATCTCAAGTAATATCATTTTCAATTCTCTCAATTAATTATAGTTATCTTATACAAGTACAAAGGTGTACATGACTAAAATTTTTTCACATAACAGTTTAATCTAACAATATATGTTTATTCATTATTTTGCAGAAACAATTAGATCATCATTTTCACCGAAACATAAACAAATTAAATTTCAAAAAAGCACTTCTTTGCCACATTTCAAAATACATAATAGAGGAAATCAGCACAACGACATGCGCCTTTATGATCGAACGTATCAATATCAGAAAAGATGAAGCAAACAAACAAAATGCATCGTATAATAGGAGACGACTTTGTGCCCACTAGTTCACCACTCTGCAGTAGCTGCGTATCTCGCCTTGTTCACCTGTGAGGACACCAATTTTGCCCATCTTCACCATGGCTGCTGCGAACTTCTGCTTGAAGAGCACAGAACTGCCTGCGAACTGCCTCACCTTTCCCGCGGTAGCAGGCGTGGACATGAGGGTCTGGTCGGAGGTGAAGAGGCCGCGGTTATCGAGGAGGTTGCTGTAGTAGCTGGTGTCGAACGTGAGAGGCCTGGGTGGATCCATGTCCACCTCGTTGTTGCTCCCCGGAGGGCATTCCTTCTTCAGCTGGTAGGCATACTTGGGGTTCAAGGTTGGGTCGGTGCTCGCCTTCCGGCTGAAGTTGTACAGCCTGTTGGAGAATGTAGGACAGTGCGCTACGCCGATGGTATGTGCTCCTGCATACGACGTTGCAATCTCCTCAGGATGCATGGCTTTTGCATGCCTCGACCGCAAATAGGGACTTAATATTGCTTCTGATTTATTACCTGAGAGTGTGATCATGTCATCCTGGCTCATCCCTTTCGAGGCAAATGACTGAGTGAGTTGTTTGAGGTTAAACGTCGGAGGAGGGAGATCGATGGTGTCGCTTGATCTGGAGATCTTTCCATCTCTTCTGCCTGCTGGGACCGCGTAGAAAGTTCCTCCGTACTGCATGCATAACACCGTTTCAATTCCAAGTTACACAACTTTCACGAAATTCTGCATGAATTATAAGTTTCACGTTGAAGAACAGTAAGGTAAGCTAAAAGTCAAAGAAAGCAACGTCTTGGACTTAGGTTTGTCTTGTTAGAGCTAGCCCCAGGAAATTTACCACAAGGTAATTTTGGCAACCCAACAAACCACAAGGTAATTTTGGCAACCCAACAAGACAATAAAGCGGAAAGAATAAAAGCGAGACAAGAACACCAGATATACGTGGTTCGGTCAATTGACTTTGTCCTACATCCACGGACGAAAGAGAGCAAATTACTACCGCAAAAGAGGGACAATAACAAATGCCTTAGGAAGATATTCCTAGGCAATAAAACACCCGAAAATACTAAACAAGAAAAACCAAACTATAAGTCCAAACTATTTAACTGAGTATGGACTTAAACCAAAGCAAACACTTAGGTTTTTCTTATGGTGCATCTGACTTCAAAACTCAGACCCTTATTTATAGTTCCAAGACGAGACAACAAGTCTGATTTTCCCGATGTGGGACTATGGGACTTGCCAAACTAACAAATCTCCACCTTGGCATGTTTTAACAAAACTTGCTCCACCTTCTTCATAAAAGCCCCAACGGGCAATCACCAACAATGAATACCAACCAAGTCCAAGCACTGCTTGAACTTGTAAACCGGAAGAGGCTTCGTAAACATATCAGTTGGATTGTCCTTCGTATGAATTTTCTGAACAAGGACATTTCCCGCAGCAATGATATCCCGAATAAAATGAAACTTCACATCGATGTGTTTTGTCCTCTCATGATACATCTGATCTTTAGTCAAATGAATAGCACTTTGACTATCACAGTAAATTATAGTAACACTTTGATGCAGACATAATTCGCTGAACAATCCTCTTAACCATAAAACTTCTTTAATCGCCTCTGTCACTGCCATATATTCTGCCTCTGTAGTAGATAAAGCTACGACAGGTTGTAAGGAAGCTTTCCAACTAATTGCACAACTGCCAACGCAAAATACATAGCCTGTCAAAGATCTTCGTTTATCAAGATCCGCAGCATAATCAGAGTCAACGTAACCAACCAAAGTGTCACGATTTTTCCCAAATTCCAAACAAACATCTGAAGTCCCTTGCAAGTATCTGAGAATCCACTTCACAGCCTACCAATGTGTTTTACCTGGGCGAGACATATATCTACTAACCACACTGACTGCTTGTGAAATATCTGGACGAGTACAAACCATTGCATACATAATACTGCCGATGGCACTAGAATATGAAACTTTCACCATATATTCTTCCTCTTCAACTGACTGTGGTGACTGAGAAGCACATAGCCGAAAATGGCTAGCAAGAGGAGTACTAACTGGCTTAGCATTTTTCATGTTAAACCTCTCCAAGA